GTAGAGTTACTTCAATTTTTCAATAAAGACAAGCCATTGTGGCATGATTGCGGGTTAAAAAAAAAAAAAAAAAAAAAGTAATATTATGTTTCAAAAATTATATTAATTAATTATTATTTATAAGAATTATACTTATTTAAAAATTCACAATCAAACTGAAATAAATAAAATTTCCAAAAAACTATAAAAATAAAAGTTCAAAAAGAATTAAAACAATTGATAAAAAAAAAGAAATTAAATTTTTTTATTATAAAAGATCTTTATTATAATTGATTTAAAGATAAAAAAAGGGTTTAAATACTTTATAATTGATTTTTTTCTTTAAAAAGTTTTTGTTATTGATTGTAAAAATGTTATTTATAGAAATTAAGTTTTAGATCAAAAAAAGATTATAAACAAGAAAAAGAAAATAATAGTAATTTTTTAAAAAAAGTATTTTTTAAATTGTTTTAAAAATAGTAATAATCAAAAAGATAAAAAACTTTTTTATATATAGTTAAAAAATTGGTAAAAAGGGTTTTCTTGATTAAAGTAGATATATTTGTAACATCTCAATAATTATAGGTAAAAAAATACTTACGTATACAATAAATTATAGATATAAACCTAACATTTATCAACAAAACAGGATGCCAATAAATTAAAGTTTTATCTAAATAAAAAGAAAACCGGTTTTAAAGTTTTTAAGCCGCAGCAATTTAAATTATAATGTAGAGTCGCGTATTACATATTTTTCGATCGCCGTGACGTATTTAGTATAAATTTAATCCGTGATTGTCGTAATACGCGCTCTCATTCTAACAATTTTGCACACTTTTATTTCTAAAATCTCACAATATGCCTAAAATGCCGCGAGAACACGAATCCGACGTTGAAGAGGACGAGCCTATGGAGCAAGAAGAGGGAGAAGAAGAGGAGGACGAGGAGCCAATGTACCTTCCAATTCAGAAGCTTGAGGTTTCAAATTTCGAAAAACACACTATTCCTTTCACTATTACATTTTGCTTGTAAACATTTCATTCTTCTGCATCAATCATTAGGAGTCCGGGATCAGCGCCTCAGACGTGAAAAAACTTTCGGATAATGGATATTGTACTGTTCAGGCCGTTGCTTTTTCCCCAAGGAAGGCTCTATTGACCATCAAAGGAATTTCCGAGATGAAAATTGATAGGATTCATGATGAAGGTAAGTATATTACTCCAAAACAGATTTGAGATTTTTAAAACTTCTGTAACTTGTATTTTCACAAATACAGCCTACAAATTGGTTAATAAGACGATGGGTTTCGAAACAGCGACAGCGATTCATGACAGAAGAAAAGAATCCATTTACATAACCACAGGATGCGCTGACCTGGATAGACTTCTCGGAGGTGAACAAAAAATTTCATCTTCAAATGACAAAAATGATTAGTCCGTTCGAATTTCGATAAACAAATAACAAGTATCAATTTATATTTCAAAATTCGCAGGCGGCATCGAGTCAGGAGCAATTACAGAAATTTTTGGAGAATTTAGGACTGGAAAAAGTCAGTTATGCCACACCCTTGCGGTGACATGTCAGGTAGGTACTTTCCTCTTGGTAGTTTGACTATATTTGAATTTCTCAAATGGAATTAACGACGCTTTCAATGCGAAGCTCCCCACGGAGCAAGGTGGTGCCCTGGGAAAATGCATTTATATTGATACCGAAGGCACATTTCGTCCCGAGCGATTGATCGCCATCGCCGAAAGGTTTGGAGTTAAAAAAATCGACGACATTTTGGATAATATAGCCGTCGCGAGGGCCTATAATACGGATCACCAGATGAACTTGTTAATGCAAGCTGCCGTAATGATGACCGAAGCAAGGTTTTAAAGCTTAAATATTAAAAGCATCTCTTCTCTTAACCTATTTATTAATTAAATCTGTTTGTTTTTGTTATTATTATTATTAGATTTGCGCTTCTGGTTGTCGACAGTGTCACAGCGCTATATCGAACGGACTATTCGGGTCGAGGTGAACTTGCACCACGTCAAATGCACTTGGCAAAATTCTTGCGCGGTTTAATGCGCTTAGCTGATGAGGTGCTTGTACATTTCGCTTTTCTGGTCAAAGTGCTTTTCGAAAGTACACTAACACATTATTTTATTCGATAGTTTGGTGTCGCAGTGGTTATAACAAATCAAGTTGTAGCGACTGTCGATGGAGCAAACATGATGTTCGCTGGAGCTTCAGATAAAAAGCCAATTGGCGGTAACATTATAGCTCACATGTCAACAACGAGGTAAAGTTCCACGCACGATCTGGGCGCGCTCGTGTGATCAAATTTAATCGATTGCATTATATACTACAGATTATCTCTTCGTAAAGGTAAAGGCGATAACCGAATTTGCAAAATTTACGACTCTCCGTGCCTCCCGGAAGGCGAAGCATCATTTGCTATCGGGAGTGGTGGCATAGAAGACGTAAAGGATTAGATGACATCATGATCCATGTTTTCGTCAATAATGAAAGGCGTGCACCATTTTTTCAATTGGGAAGAATTTTCTTTTCTTTAGGGACATAATAAATTAAATTAGTGTATATACAGCCTTAATATCCGAAGTTAATATAGGATAGTTATATAGAATTTTTGATAATTCGTCTCCGGCATGACGATTCCTAAGCGGCCGTCGTCGTCGTAGGGGAATCATTTTTTGGATGTAAATTTCTGCTGAAAGGATTGCAATAAACGTTGCTCTCCGTTTCAACTGTAGTAGGAAAGTAGAAGAAAGCTACTGCCAAAAGAAGATATGAGACCTAAATATAAAATGAAAATTTTATTAATATGAATGGGGAATGGTCAATGGATTGTTGGATACTCACAATTAACATATAGCCTTCTAGCCATGTGGCTCGGTTGTCCTACAAAGACAGAGTTTCATGACTTAGCACGTATGGATAAAAAAAATTTTTTTTAAAAAAAAAAGAAACTCGGTTGTTGAACGTACCGCGACCAAATAATTTACAATTAGCACGGCGCATGCTAACGCCGTTAATTCGAGAACGTTGAAATCCAGTGTCAATGGTTTTCCCAAGATCCACCCCAAGATAATTAGGATCGGTGCCACCAGCAAGGCCATTTGCTATGTGGACGCAGGATCGTCATTTCGAAAAACGAGATATTATCTTACCCCCCTCCAAAAAAAAAAAAAAAAAACTCACCACGGACGTGTTTAAGATTAAACCAACTGCCGTGTCAACTTTATCATCAAAAGCATGTTTTATCGCTTCGTAGTGTTCGATGAAGTTGGATACGACTGAAAAATTTTTCACGGGTAATCGGTAAACTTTGTCGACGAGGACAAATCCAACGAAAAATCGTGATGCATACCACACAATGGGAACAACACTATGCCAACAAATCCAGTACCAAGCTGAAATTCTTCGGCTATATGTTCGACTGTGGACACGAGATATCTGGCACATACAGTAATGCCAGCAATAGAGGCCACAATTCTGGATTGTAAAATTTTTCTCCAGATTAGTCAAAAAAAAAAAAAAAAAAAAAAAGGTGGCGGCATTCGCGGGAAGGATGCTTACAGAATAACATCAAAGTACCACCGATACAAGGGCGCTTTGTATTCGAACTCCTTGGCATTAACCACCTACATCAATGATGACGACATTTTTTGGTTACACGAGTCGGATGAAAACGCGCGTCAAATTTTCAAAGAATTCGTCACCTCCTTGACATGAGTTTTCAGTTGAAAGACCAATAGACCGAAGTAAAAAAACAGTAAAATGACTGCAGTCGCATGACTAATGATTTGCATGTCGCATACAATGCTATCGGATGTAAGGATGGATTGCGGTGTTGCAGCAATTTTGAATGCCGTAGGAATAACCAACCCGAGCACTGCGAGAGCCAATATAGAGGCACTCGTGTTGACAAACAACTTCGTTTCAAACGACGAATCTTGCACACGAAATGTTCCCGACTGTGGCGTTCCAGTGACGATTCGACTTTCTTGTCGGCGGCGCAAAACTCCCGTGTTAATTCGATTTTGTGTTGGCCAGGATCCCGCCAAAAATGTCACACCTAGAACCTGTCGATTGTGAGATTGATGGGGGAAAAGATTGAAAAGGGAAAAAAAAAAGAAAAGACGAATCGTATCGTGACCTTTATTATTATCCTTACCAACGTAATGTTACAAAGAATGGCCCCCAGTATGGCGGAACGCACAATTGCATATCGCCCGTCGATCAAAGCGTAGAATTCAATTACGAGCTCCACAAAGTTTCCCGAGAATGCATGGAGAACCGATAGGAAAGCCTGATTTGATATTGAATTGTCAGAATGATCAAAAAGAAAAATAAGTAGCCATCATGATAATCCAAAAGCCTTCCTTCACTTGTAACAATGGGAACGAACGAGCGTACAGGTCCAACCCTAGTCGTCAGGTCGTTAAGTCCAGTGGTCAGAACGTTGGACAATGGTATGATCGCAAAGAAACTGACGATAAACAAAACCAACTGATTGATCTCAAAATGTGCCATGATAATGGAGAGAAGCACAAAGATCAATAACAGGTATACCCCTCCCTTCGTCACAACCGTCACCATTAGACTCGATATCCATGAACAACATGAAACTCGGAGGCTCTCTATCTCGGGTTTCGAAGATTTCGGTTGAGTATCATCATCACCATCTGTCACTTTCCCGGCAGCTTCAAAGGTCACTCCGGATTTTGAAGATTTCAAATGAGTTTCATCTGCCGCGGATTTATTGGTCTCACCGGACGCCAAGAATTCCTGTTGAATGTCATCTGCCACTTTCTCTTCGTGAGAAGACATTATGTGAACTTTTTTTTTTTTTTAAGTTCTAAAAACCTTTATTGTACATGAGAATTGAACTAATATCCTTACGCCATCACGTCCAACAATCCTAACTCGATATAGGAAAAATAATCAAGCAGGAATATATCCTTGCCCCCAAGTACCACAATGAATCGACTAGGCCAATTGAACTGAATCACACATTTTAAAAAGGTCCATCACACCAGCGTCGACCTTGAAACATGATTCTTCGGGAAACGCTGAATAAGTATTATTAAAATGGCTCATCAATGACAAAAATGACCGCTTGCCAAACGATATTGCAATCTCCCTATATGGTTAAGATCATGGCGATGGTGGCTCGGCGATATAAAAGGCGTTTGATTTTCTATTGTGAGATCGATCAGCCAATCTTGTACGTCGTGCACGCGCACATTGTTCGCCTCGTAACTCCTTCTCGACGGTTTCGATCACGTGAAAATATTTGAACGCATGTATTGCATGTATGTTGTGTACTTTGGGTCGGTATAGGTAACCTCTTTCCCCCAAAAAACCGGTTATGCGGAGACAATAGCAAATCAAAACGATGTTTCACACATCAATGCACGATAACTAAATCGAGAACCATTCATTTATTCCCTCCCGTTATAACAATAATGTTTGGGGTTGGTCGGTCTGCGGGTATTTATAATGGACAGGGTTTGGGCAGGGACGTCTTGTATTTTGAATTTTGGTCAAAGGGAAAAAAGCTTTGTACCTTTCACGTGACCGAATTACGTGTTGCTTATGAAACATATTACTAAGATGACGCAAAGAGTATCAACAATAATAACATGTCATTTCGTGTCAAATTACGTAATCACCGACTATTGTTCGATAAAATTTTTTTTTTTCTGTCTGTACGATAACATGTATGACCGCACATACCTTTTTTTTTATTTGTCGAACTGTTATCGCATGATGAATATAGTTCTTATCGTGGAAAAAAATTTTATTTATTTTTTTTTTAATTACTTATTTTCTTACATAATCATAAAATCTGGTTCTTATGATTTGGCTATACTGCGTACAATAACTTTTTCTAAAAATAAAGCAAACTTTGGGGAAATCTTGAGAATCATAATTGCATAAGGGGATGATTTGTTAACGTGACGAAAGAACGATATAAAGAGAGAAAAAAAAAAAATGAATCGATAAAGGATTGTTTACGCGGGACCTGTGTCATTGCTGTATTAACGGGAATTCTAGGTTTCGCTTAGTAACATGTTTGGTATGCCGTCCCTAATCGAATAAACGTGTTTGCAGTTGGGGCACACCATCTTTCCCTGTTGAACGTGAGTCTATAGATTTGAAAAGTCGATGAGCAGGCGAACGGGAACGAATTGTGCATTTCGACGCGTTAAAAAATGAAAATTGCGTGCGATCATACCTCCAATAATGCTCTATGAAGATTCCTGAGGAAACCCTCGTCGAGATCCTCGGTTAAGGCTTCCGGCAATACTTCAGGGATCGAGGTGATGCCAATCTGGGTGAGCGAATTAAGGTACATACATATAACGAATGGTTTCAGAATTCGGATCCGCCAGTACAAAAGAAAAATTTCGATCGAGTTTCAATCATCCTACTCACCTTCCTAGCGGTCTTCACCAAGGCACTCCAATCTAATTTTGGAAGCATGTTTTGCAGGAACTGAGGATTGTAGTCGGTCTCCGTGATCTGGATTTCCACTTCCGACAGTTCTAACGGGAAGTTGTTGGTGTTGCAGCCTTTGGCGTGGCATTGAAGCATGTTATGGGTTACTAAACGCATGTTGTTGTTTATAGATACGACGGATGAAGGAAAGAAACGTTTGTGACTAACAATAGAAACAGGTTGGGTTCGAAAATGAGTTTACGCTGAGCGCATGTTTTCGCTCTTTATATCGGTAAATGAACATTTCGGAATATAACACCCGATAAATTTACCACTTACAAACTTACAAATTAAGAACTTGGAGATTCGGTTATATAATTGCCTAATTCGTACCAACCATTTGTGCAACACCAAATGCAGAATAATCGGTAATTTTTAGTGTGCAACTGTGCAACATTAATTATCATCTCTCACTCCTCTGCATAACAAAGAAAGATCCTAGAACATGTTTACGAGACCAGTTCTCATCCGTCCCACCTTTCATTATGGTAAGTTTCTATAAATAAACGGATAATCTAAAGGTTTGAGCGGTCGCCTTTGTTAAACGAACAGAGAACCAATAATTATTCATTATCCAATAGCTCGTCGATTATCAGTTGCGCAATTTCACAATACCTCGGTCATACGAACCGGCAGGGTTTTGGTAGCCACCGCCGAAACTTTCAAGAAACTGGTTCTAGATGCCAAAGACCCCGTAATCGTTGACTTTTATGCCGAGTGAGCTGAACCATTTAATTACTTCTGCATTTCATGTTATCCAAGGATTGAGATCCCATTTTGATTACATCATCATTCATTCATCATTCATTCATTCATTAATTCATTCATTTAAAAACATTGCGAAGCTGGTGCGGACCCTGCAAAGTGCTGGCACCTATTCTAGAACGCGTCGTCAAAGACAACGAGCGAGTTACACTTGTGAAAGTGGATGCCGATGCAAATCATCAAATAGTAGGAAAGTACGAGGTAGATTGATTCTCTTGTCATTTTGCATGAACGTCGATGATTCAAGCGAGATGATCATCAAGGGTAAGATTAAAGTTATGATTTTCATGTGTTTCCATTATTAGGTTACCGGACTTCCGACAGTATATTCTTTTTACAAGGGTAAACCCAGAGGATTTTTCGTTGGCGTAAAGTCGGAAGGTCATATCAAGGATTTCGTGGAACAAACATCTGCTCTAGCGGATCAATGATTGTCTACGCCTTGAATGAGAATTAGCACACATAATTACCATAGGGAGTTCCTTTGGACTTTCTTTATCATTATTTTTCCGGAATCCCTCCTTTTTATTATTATCATTATGATCATGATAATAAATTTAATTATTATCTAATAATAATATTTAAGATTTCATGCACCCATCTATGAATGTTTGTTGCATAAAGATTTACAAAAAGGTATTAATCACCGAGATCGTCATTTCCGAATTATATACATTGTCTAATACATCAGGCAAGGGAGCTGGATGTTTGATACACAGATTTCCTTTTTTGAGGCGTAAAATCACGTGCCACAAATAATATTTGCAAGAAAAATTATGAAGGGAGAAGGTCAAAACAAAAAAAAAAAGGACGGTAAAAAATTTTTTTATTCATTTTTACTATTTCCGGATAACAACCGAAAAAAACTAGGCATTAATTGATTATGGATGATTGTACCAAAGTTGTGCAAAAGTAATACTACCCGAAAATTCAAGTGACTTGATGAAAATGGGTCCTGAAACCTTTGCCAGAGAATGCATACTGTAATAAATAAATAAATAAACGAATGAACATACGTGTGCACGATTGTTTGATTTTATCTCGCAACCATTTGTAGGCGAAAAAATGGAGAATGGATTTTTTTCGTTTGATCTTAATGGTGCGTTTCAGGATCTGTCGGTCTTTTTTGTCAATTACACCATCCGTGTTTATTCATCTCCGCTAGAGACGGCCGAGAAAAAAAAAAGAAAGAAAGAAAGAAAAAGAAACACCGAAAAACCGAAAAACATCATCCATCAAACAATAAACAATGACACGGACCATTGTATTGAGATAAACCTTATTCGGCTTTTTTCTTATCCTTTTGGCCGACAAGATCATTCTCATTTGATGTGATCTGCCTGTAATTAAAGTAAATTAGAAATACAAGAAACATTAATGCGCTAAAGGTCACATTCATCACAACATAAATATCCGGATATTTTCTCGGTGGTGGAACGTTAAACTCCAATATATGGATGACAGCCATCACCAAATATGACACCTAGACAAATCAAATGGAGGTATATTCTTTAAAAAATTCACACGCGATTGCAAAGATTATGCTTGCTTGCTTGCTCACCGCAGCCACATAATTGAAAACAATCGATCCGGTTTTCAGTTGGATAAAAGAACCCAACCAATTCCACATGAACCACACAACAAAATACGGCAAAATCAGTCGATCCTTTCTCAACAGAGGAAACATGCTATGAAATTTCATGAACAAATCGGATTGTGAGACAGAGGGAAAAAAAAAAATAAAAAATAGATTCCAAACGCCCGCCGAAACGTTCATTGGTAGATACCTAAACATTGCGACATTATTGAACCACGAACCCCAGAATGGCTCATTCAAGATCAAGAGGGTGATGGGCAAGGCGGGTAGCAATATGGATTTTTCATGTACTTGGAAGGAGAACATAAAAAATGCCAGCGACGAGTTGGCCAATCCATAAATAAGACCACGTTTATTGGATGATGAACCAAGGTGCAGGCACGAAGGTAAAACCGCCAACAACGTGGTCACAAGGCTAATCGATAATTTAATCAAGATCCGTGAATGGGCGCCAATGAGTTTCACATATTACGCAAGGAGAGGTAAAAAGAAAAAAACAAAATAAATATAAAATAAAATATAGATTAGGGCAAAATAAAAAAGGAGTTGCTCGCCTACCTTATCCATGTTAAAGATTGAATCTCAAACGTCTCCCGCAACTTGATGACAACGTTCACCGCACACCAAATATTGGAAACTTTGTCTTCGTATAATCCACGTTGTAATGGAAACATGCGCAGGACCACTTGAGATATGTGCTCGAATGAATCCAGGAATGGAAAGAAGATTATCCCAAATGTCGCTATGACCGTCACGCCCAATTTCACAAAAAGAATCATTCTAAGTTGTGACACGAATAAAGTTCAATTAATTGCGTTCATTGTGAAGCGCACACAGTGAACCCGAACTATTCGAGATCGAGTACCCTTCTTTATTATTGCCACTATTATTGTTTATGCATTTGCCAAGCAAGTACGCAAAAATTGCTGGGGCGAAGTACAGCGCCATTTGCTTGAAGCTCAACGCAAGACAAAAAAAGATGCTCCCTAAAACATCATAATCATAGAGAAAACAATTCACCGCCCAAATTGTAAGTCCAAGCATCACCGAATTATACCTATTGCGAGAATTTCAGACGTTAAAGATGTCATGTCAGCAGAAAAGAGGTGGCAAACAAATGATCGACTGATTGTTGAAAAAACAGTTGGCATACTGAAAATGACCATGATCTATCAGAATCAGTGCCGGTTGTAAGAGTATAAACAAAACGGCCAAACTCTTGAATAATTGACGAATCTGGTTAATAATAATTTGCGGATTTCTAAATATGACCCATCACGGAAAACACACCTTTTTCTTCCACGAATCTCCGGAGAACCACCAATTTACAAACACAAATACAGATGGGAAATATATTAAAAGTTCACAGATTAACACTGAAGATCTCATGAATAATTTGCTGTGTTCACTTTCGTAACCTCGTGATCGGTCCAGAGCAAACCAATTTGGATCAAAGATGGAACCTCTGTGAAGAATAAATTGTGTGATATAATATATACAAAATAGTGTAATGCAAAATTCTGTGATTAAGAATTTATGTGGATCGTACATTTTACCGCATATCCAGCTAACATATGCCGTCAGTGGAGGATAATCAAGACCCCACCATTCTAGATCATAGTAATACCATTGACTTATTGGAATATGTAACGTTATCTCCATCCAATGTCTTTGCGCTTCATAGTCACCATACATTGGTGGGGTATTATATCCTGATTTGTCATCGATTAGAAATTGCTCGTTGAGACGAATCCAGGCAACGAACTTAGCGCACAATGAACCAATTTTGGGGCTTACCTGAGTAAGGATTTAGTCCAACGGCCCACCTTACATAAATTCCAAAGATCACGGTAATTAGGGCTGACCAAGTTTCGATGTTGTTTCGTTCTAACCAATTTAACCACCGAGCTGCCGGTGCATCAAGGCCATATTCCGTTATTCGGTCTTTTGCCCCGTTGTAATCAGATAACCCTTCGGTCTCTCTGCAACTGGGATCTCTGTAACCAGAATTTGCGGATTTCTCATTCATGGCAAACTAAATTTGTTTTTTTTCAATGGATTCTCATTAACCAATCAAAATTTAATCACGACTACTCCGTGATTGGTGAATTCCTTATAATGCAAGTTAATTCTAATAAAGGAATTGAATTAATTGCGTTTATTGTATATACAGCATATTTTAAGTTAATTCCTTAACTAACTCACTTATCTTAGCTTTAAATCTTTAAGTATAATTTTGAAAGTGGTTTGTTGCTTCATTAATAGTTTAAATAAATACTCTTGTAACCTTTTAACATTATTATCAATATACTTTAAATTATAGTTAAAGTTTTAATTAATATCAAAATTCAATTACTTTGATTTTATTTATTAAGATCCTATTTTAATTATTCTTTATATGATTTTAATTTTGCTAAAAATTTTCAAATAAGATAGTTTTAAGGATATTTTAATTTTGATATTCTTGAAAATATTATAAACTTACTTCAATTTTATTATATATTTATATTTTATTTTTTATTTTTATTTTTTAAAATACTTATGATCTTTATATATTGTGATCAAATTTATATTTGACTAATGTGTTCAAATAAAATTATTTTTAAAAGAACAATTTTCAAAGAAAAAGTAATTTATAATAATAAAAAAATATCAAAGAATAGATCTATCAAAAATTCTTTGAATAGTAATACACATTGTTTTACAAGAAATACGGATTATTTAGAATCCAAGTTTATTATTAATAAATTAAGAAAACTAGAACAATTTTTTTTTTTTTTTTTTTTTTTTTTTAAAATTAACCCTCTGTCAGGTTAGTTGGGTGTGCTTTATTAAACCTTTGTAAACTATACATTAATATGTGTCGCTAAAGCTATATCTCTAACTAACTCACTCGT